TGATGAGACTTTGTAGAAAGCAGCTGGTCTGAGTGATGTGATCAGAGTGCAGTAGATAATGTCTGACAGCAGTTTGAAGAGGAAATGGATTCTGTTCTGTTCTTCACTCATCACCTACCTGACAGCTGACACCTCACACCTGTTTCTCACCTGCAGCTCAGACAGGAGGAGCCACAGAGGATGGAGGGAAGGAGGCAGAAGAGAAGGAAGCAGGAGGGAAGGAGGATGAATCTGTTGGACTAATAGCTGGTCTGGTAGTTCCTGTTGTGCTTCTTGTTGGTGTTGCTGTTGTTTTTTATCTACATAAACCATGACAATGAGAATCAGGATTGATACTAACCTCCTGTTGAAATTCACTTGTTTGAAACATCTTACGGCTTTTCCACCTGATTCTCCTGCTGTTGCTCCAAATTCCCAGCATGCCAAATTTGGTTTACAGGGTTTCAGGGACTGAACTGACTTCAATTCTGGATTCTGTTCTGTTCTTTACTCACCACCTTCTTCTCACCTGCAGGTCCTCCTGGAGGACATGGAGGGTCTGTGGGACTGGTAGTGAGTCTGTCAGTTTTGGTGTGTTTGTTCTTGTACCTAATGATTTGATCTGTAAAAGAAGAAAAGGGAATGGTGCTGAATATGTGATTCCTGCTTCTCAGAGATCCTGTTAAAGTCTAAAGACATTGGGAGGGTTTCACACTGTTTAGAGCAGGGAAACTGGTACTAATGGTGCAATACTGACGGATGTGTTTGTGGATATGAACACATGAACATCCCTCAGGTTCATATCTTCAAATTTAGGTCCCAGGACACAAACTTTATATTTCCCATTTTTAAAGAGTGAAAAATGTTACATTTGGACATCTGTGGGGTTGGTGATGGAGGGAATCATTTAAAACAGCTCGCAGGTTTCTACACTTATGAATTAAAAATGCATCACTTTAAGAATTAAATCTATTACATTAGATGAGGATGACGGTTTGGGATAAAATTGTTTACACTCTTTAAGCTCTGTTTCTTAGTTGTCATGGTGATGCATCCTGGCAATGTTACAGACATGAAAAATATCTCAGAGTGAAACACTTTAGTTACAGTCATGTTGACTGTAACTAAAGTGTCATTTTTATAACTCCCTCTTTATAACTGTCTTTACCATGTAATGTTTCCTAAATTTACACAAACAGGGATTTTAGACTGCAAAATGGAATTTTGTGCAGCTAAAAATGACAAATTTTGTTTTATGAAAACTGAAGTTAATGCAGCAGTGACTGGAAAATGACCTGTTCTACAAACTAGACCATCTCAGTACCACTGACTTTATGGTAGTTTTCAAATTTATTTATTTCCTTCAGCAGGTACTTGAACTTCCTTCAGTGGAAAATTGAAACAGTGTTACAAAAACTTGTGTTTCACGTTTCCTATTTGTGAAACTTTGTTTTTTGGTGTAAATCAACAATTTAAACAAGCTAAGTAATTTATGCTTTTTTTTTCTCTGGGTTTAGTGTTTTGTAAGATTATGAATGCATAAATGCTGTGATCTGTATTAAAAAATACTGTTGCTGTCTGTGCATGTGCCAAGTCAGCCACGAAATCCTGAAGGTATCAGAGTAAAAAAAGCTGGTTTAGATTTAGTTTGTTTCTCACCTCTCCTCCAGGAGCGGCTGAAACAGTCCAGGTGTCTTTTTTCTCCTCAGTTTCTGGAGGAAATTGTGCAAGGAAGGAGGAATGTTGTGCGACATGTGTTGATTTGATCACTTACAGCAGTTTCTCTCATGTACTGTCTGTGTTCACCTGTTTACATTTTCTGTGAACGATACATCAACCACTGCCCGACTTATGGGGTTCAGCCTGGTGCAGAACTTTCCCCTCATTTGTTCCCTGGTTTAATTCTGTTATTTGTTTGATTTTAATCTCCCCGTGAATCTGATGCACTGAGCCACTGAAGTGGAGAAGCAAAGAAATAAAAAAACTGGACTGTTGACTGTTTAACAGAGATTTATTTTTGCACTTTCTCACTGATTCCTGCTGAATCAGCACCAAAGAACACACAGCAAACCCTCTGAGCTTTGCTTCAGGTCATCGTGTTATTCATAATCAGAGCGATCAGTGAGAACAATCTGATGTGTGTTTACTTAAACTCAGTAAAAGGCTTCTTCTCACTTATACATCTTCTAAACCAGAGTGCGTATAGCACACGCTGGATGCTGACATTTATCAAACTGTGAGGTTTGTTATCAGAGGATCATTCTGATAACACAAACCCCTCCAGTGTGTCTAAGGCCCACTGAGGAGATCAGAAAGGACACAAGGAGAGAGGAGTCAAGGAAACAGTCTCAACAGAACGAGACATCAGCGTCTCAGAGCTTCATTTTAAACTCTGGTAATTAAATAACATTAAATTACAACTAGAATACAAACAGTGCTCCAGAACCATCATATAAATGAGAAATTCTTCAGCATGAAGCACTGAGATTGATTTTCAGGTAACAGGCAGGAAGACGGAGACCAGGAGGCACAAATTAGAAAGAGTCCTCAGTTTTCCTGAGCAACAAGAGCCAATCAAACAGAAGCAGGAAACATATGAGCCTGTTTAAGCCTGATAAATAAGCCTATAAATAAAAGGGATGAGTTCTTCAAAGAGTCCTCCTACTTCCAGGCCTCCTTCTGACACACTGCTCTCCTCTACATAAGCAGCCTTTAGAAGTTAAATCTATCAGTTAAAAATCTACAACCAACAGGTGGCAGCACACGACCTTTCTCCTCAGTAATTCCCCACGATAACAGCCACAAAAAGGCCAATACTCCACTTTAAGACCTGTTTCTGTTTGCTCAGTTGTTTAAAAAACACAGAGGACCAAATGCAGATTTAACAGCCTCCAACTGTTCTTCTGCTACTCCATCACAGAGTGCTCCACCTCCATCAGTCTGTTCTGAATTTTGTTTTAACGTCTTTCAGACCAGAAAACCATCACAGCTGATTGTGGATGCCACTTTAACACGTTGAGCTCAAAACAACAGGATGGATGTGTCCTTGTATATGAGATGAGCATTTGGATCCAGAAAACCAGCATCCAAGTTTCTTTGATTCAGAGCTAGTGGTGCCACGTGATGCTGTGAAGGCTGAATCTGAGCCTGTGGGTGCTGCAAAGCTTTTTTCTCTGTATGTATTATTGTAGGGTCTACTTTCCAATATAACACACCTTGAGGTGAGTGTTGTTATGATTTGATGCTGTATAAATAAAAAACTGACACATTGAATGTATCAGAGAACGCGGCAGGAAGTCTGCTGAGATCTGAAAACAGTCCAGAGGTGGCCGAGGTGATGATCTTGAATGTGAGATGAGCCGAGAAGGTTTCTGATCTTTACATATCCAGTTCAGAACTTTTCACAACTCATATAATAATGGAATATAACCATTATAATAAAGATTTGTACGTGTTTTAAATAAATATTATGGCTACACTATGATCACAAATTAGATTTAAAAGTGCAAAATAAAAGCTTAAAGGAGTTAATAAAGCGCTTAATTAGCTGTGAGACCCTGTTAACTGTGCTACTGTGACCCCTATTTTAATGCACTGTCTGAAGTGATCTACTCTACGTCTGTGTCCTCCACCTCTCTACTTGCTAAAAGCTCCACTACGCTCACCTGCTGTTCTCCACCTGCCGCCTGTTCTCATCGTAAAATCAGGCTCTGCAGAAAAGTGCACAGAATAAATTTCAGATCAGCTCTTTAATGTTCATAAGAGTCACTGTGTTTTGATGATTTCAGTTTTGAATAAATAAAGCAACACAGACAATAACAAGAATCTGCAACAATAACTAAAAAGTATGTTTCCTTGTCTCTTCTCTCCTTGGCTCCTCTGTCCTTGTTATTATCTTCAGTGCATCAGAAGACAAAGCTCCGGTTAGCTCTGAGCTCACAATCCTCCACTGTGAAGAGTGAAATTCAAGGTCACATGACTGAAACTGTCATGTGGACCAAAGTTAATTATATGTCGTGAATAACAACAAGGTTATACTACTGAGACGTGTCTGTCCTGCTGCTCCTGTTTTCATATCAGTGAAATAATTATGCTACAGGAAACTCTGGTTTGTCTGTCGGCACTGAAACAAAATTCGAGCAGCTTTGCTTCAGAGTGCCTGTTTTACAGTGTCAGTGTGAGAAAGATCACCAAAGCAGCCTTTCAATATCATGTTTACATTTAGGATGTACTTGTGAAGTTTACTATAGATAATGAAAACTACACACTCAAATTAGGTGTGAAAAACATAACTTGAAATTGAGCACAAACAATCTACTGAGAACATTTATGAACAATAAAAGTCCCACTTCAGTGATCACAGTCCAGCCTTTGGTTTAAAATTTATTCTAATATAAGATAATATGGTAATGCTATAGACATAATAATAAAGGTAATGTTTATGGATGGTGGCGCCCTCTTCTAGATTTGTAGACTTTTAACAGTGAAACAGCCACATGTTCAGTCTCCACTAATAAAATAAGCAGATAAGTAAACCTGGGTCAGGCTGTGGTTGCCTTTCTTGTCCTACAAGCATAGACTGAGCTTTAGGAGCTCATCTATGTCACAGAAAAATAAAGTTTACTGTCAAAATCTTTATTTATTGTTGAAAACTCACAAATACCTGATAAGAAGCCAGATTTAAAAGCTTTTATCAGAGATGAAGAGATACACATCAGACTGTCCTCACCGATTTCTCTGTGAATGATTGTTTCCATTTGTGTGTTTGTTCTTTAACGCTTGTACAGCTTAATTACAGCAAGAAGACAGGAATTCAGTTTAGACTAAACATATGTATCAGCGCTAAAACTGACCTTAAAAATTAAACACATTCAAAACTTCTGACGGCTTCAGTTTATCAGATCAAATGTCACAAATGCAAATGTAGACCAGTTTACTATAAGACGCCTGGTTATCCACTGAGGGAAGTTCTTTTGGCTCCTTTTAGTACAAAAAAATAATGAACGTTAGCTCAACATTTATTACAACAGCAACAACAAACTTTATTGATATAGCACATTTAACAACCAGGAGTATGCCAAAGTGCTGAACATACAAGAGGGTCAGATATAATAATAGAGACAGATGAAGGCCATGGAAAAGTACCAAACATGCTCGCAGGTTGATGCCGTAAAAAACACAAAAACAAAATAAATACAAATAAAAGCATAACAGAACAATATGTCTAACAGATAAAAGAGTCAATGAACATCTAAAAATAATTAGTAGTTAAGAATAGGACGATTAAATAAATAGGTTTTTAACCGCGATTTGAAGGATTGAATGGAATCGGATAGTAATGGGGAGGTTATTCCACAAATCGTGTGCAGCCAAGGTAAACGTGCGGCCACCTCTAGTCTTCAGTCGGGATCTCAGCTGTACAAAAGTGACTGGGAAGATGATCTTAGTACCCTAGCAGGGGTGTATGAGCTATGTAGTTCATCGAGGTAACTTGGCGCTATATTGTTAATAGTTCTAAAGGTGAGCAGCAGGATTTTGAATTGAATGCGATACTTAACGGGAACCCAATGCAGGTCAGCAAGGATGGGGGTAATAGAGACTCCTGCCCGGTACCAGTAAGGAGACGAGCTGCCGCATTCGGAACAATCTGCAGTCTATGGAGAAGAGTAGAGTTAAGACCAAAGTAAAGGGAGTTGCAGTAATCCAACCTAGATGCCACAAAGGCCCCTCCAGGTCCCTATGAGGGACATAATGTCTGGCCTTGCGAATAAGACGCAATTGATGGAAGCAGAATTTGACAACAGAAGACACTTGTTTGTCAAATTTAAATGAGCTATCCAAAAAACACACCTAGGTCACTAACAAGGAACCAAAGGCGTCACGGAGTTGCCCGCGAGGGATATTAATGTCATTTTGGTTTTCCTGTTATTTAAGCTAAGGGAGTTACCAGAGAGCCAATCTTTGACCTCACACATACACTCACAAAAACAGTGCACAGACATGGAACGATCATCAGTTAATTCAAAATAGATCTGTATGTCACTGGCATAACAAGGATGTTGTACTTCTCAAAGATTGCGCCTAAGAGAAGCATATACAGTGAGAAGAGCAGGGGACCAAGGACAGATCCTTGAGGCACGCCGCAGAAGACAGGACCAGCAGAGGAAAAATAAGGCCCCAAATTGATTGAGAAAGACGAAAGAAAGGTATGACATAAAAGATGGTCACATCCATGAAAGAAGCAATTTTACTCTCAGCATTAATCTGCATGAATCTAACAGCTCGGGTTACAGGATACCTTCAAATACTTTCAAAACACGAACATGAGTTAACAAACTTTCCCTTTCACAGAGTAAAACCACAGCATGGCTTAGCTCAGCACTTCAGAGTAATCAGAGGATCACACAATCTTAAAGGTGGAAACTTCTGATTTCACCTTTAACATTAAACACTTCATAACAGCAGAGAAAAATAATCACTGCTTCCGTGTCCAATAAATAAATCATGTAACATCATTGTATGTTCTCTCAGGGTGCTCTACAACCACATCAGACACTTCTGGACCTCAGTTTAACCTCTGAGATTACACAGTAACTTAATCTGACAAAATTCACGTGTTCATTTAGTCAGAGCAAATTTCAGAGACACGTGACTGAAACTGATGTCCTGTATGAGAGCCCCTTATGTAGCAATAATGAAACGCTTTGTTGTGGTCATATTTAAAGCTGAATCTGCAGGGATGCCATGACATGTGTGTACTGCTACAGTAAACTGGTTTGTCTGAAGACAAAGAAAGAGGAAAAAAAGCGAAGAGCTTCTTCTTTTTAGGCTTGCTGTTGTTCAGGCGGAGCAAGTGAGGAATTCTTGTTTCTCAATTTTCCAGAGATCACAAAAGCAGCTATAAGAACACAAAACACACCAAAAGCTGACAGACCAGGACGTCCTCTATTGACTCTGTCCTCCTCCTGTCCATCCTCTGTGTGTCCTCCTGTCTGAGCTGCAGGTGAGAAACAGGTGTGAGGTGTCAGCTGTCAGGTAGGTGATGAGTGAAGAACAGAACAGAATCCATTTCCTCTTCAAACTGCTGTCAGACATTATCTACTGCACTCTGATCACATCACTCAGACCAGCTGCTTTCTACAAAGTCTCATCAACAACATCTTTAGAAACAAACATCAACAACCAGGAAGCAGCTTCACCTCTGATCACACACACACTCAACTCTACTCACTCACCTGGAGGATCAACAACACTCAGGTAGATGATGCTGATGGGGTTGTTCTTCAACACAGCTCTTTTCCCACGGTTGTTTCCTCTCTGGAGGACACGACACTCGTATGCTCCACTATCATTAATCGTCACATCCTTCAGAATCAGAGACACGTCACCATCCTTCATCTGTCTGTCCTGCAGATCCACCCGGTTCTTAAAAGATGGATGCTGGTTGTCTGGAACAAACAGATCATCCCGGTACAAAAGGACATATTCTGATCCCAGGTCAGCTCTGCTCCAATCTGCAACTATGATGTTGTAGTTTGGAGCTTGACATGGCAGAATGACGTTCTGTCCAGCTGTGGTGTTTATGTCTGAAAGAGAGGAAACAAAATGAGAAGTTAACAACATCAACAGCATCGCTCACTTCTGGAGCAGTAACCACTGATTCCTGCAGAGCCACAGGCAGTACAGCTCACACAGCATGCTGAAATTTAACACAGTGCGGTTTTGTGACATAAATTACAAGGTGACTCTTTCCCTAGATGCCACTTGTCAACTCAATACACACGTCTTGTTCAGTCCTGTACTCCATTCATCACAATAAACACGGGTGTCTGCTCAATAAAAGATGTTGATGCAGAATTGTTTTGTCTCACTTAAACAAACAAACAAACAAACAAACAAACAAACAAACAAACATCTTTTATCTTTATTAGTAAGTTACAGGTCACAAAAGCTTACATGCATTTGAACCAGAACACAAAAATGTACACATTATTTAAAAGGATCCGTATGAAAATAGAAACAGACCAGAGTTGATCAATAGTTTGTCTTCAACAGGTTGTAAGAGTGCATGTGCAGGATGAGCTAACAGGTGATCTGTTTCACTCTGAGTGTGTCAAAACTTGAACACACACGGTGTAAATATATATATTTATAATATTTAAAATTCCAGATTCACAGTAGTTATTATCACAGCACAGTGAAAAAATTCTCAACAGTGATCGTGTTGTGAGAGTGTTTTGGGGGTTTTTTTTGCTCTGTGGTCAAATTTGTCAGGCTACAGTTTTGTGTTCGTGTCCCTTCCTGTTCTGTGTGGCTGCTGTAGAGCAGCAGTTCTTTGCTGCGGTCTCCTCTCCTCTCTCTCTCTCTGGGAAAAGGGGGAAGTTTCCTTGAGTTCACATCAGCACTGTTCTTTTTGTTTCACAGCCAGAATCTCCAGAAATTGTGCCAATGTTTTTAACTACTTAATAATAATAAGCTGACAGAAGTTTTGATAAACAGCACAGTCCCATTTAAGGAAACTTGAACTTCATTTACTTTTTCTTGCCTGAAATTCTGAGGGCTCATATTGTCTTTATGCCTGGTCTAGAAGTCAATTTAATTTTTAATGGATATGAAATCTGAAACTATAACATCTGGAATTTGTTCCCATATCACTCAAATATAAGCACATATGACACATGACCATCCCTTAGAGAAATGCACCCAAACTACTCCATACATTACAACAAGCATGCAGCTACACAGCTTACCTTCATATGCACTGACCAGAACACACACCAGCAGCAGCAGCAGCATGTAGAGGACTGTACTACAACACAACTGCAACATAGTCGGGCTGTCTGTGTGCAGATGGCACAATGAAAATATAAAAATCCAAGGTCCAAAGACACCGGCTATCAGGACAGACGCTCTCTGTTAACATCCAAGTCATTTAAACTACCAGCTCTCTAGGTACTCACATAAAAAGGGTAGGGAGGATGATCCCCCTCCTTCCACCTCAAACTGACTGGCAGAACACACCCACCTGTTCTTATCAGAGCAGGAACAACAGCTTCATGTCTCAGCTCTGAAACCTCAAGAGCGTTTATGAAAAGATCTCCAGCCGACAGGAAGATTTATGGTTGGGTGTGAAGAAAAAGAAAAGAGGCCCATAATAATATTCTGTGTATGTGGAGAACACGACACGTGGTCGCCTGTTTGCCTTTGGCCATTTAGTCATTTAGTGACCACAACCAAAGGGAGATTGTTTTCTTTAGAGCAGTAGATCTGCTGTAGGCTGGAAACCATCGGCCAGTTTACAATTCCGTTTTTTAACCAGATGTCACGGATTCATGTTTTATTGGAAGCTTCCGCGCTGATCTAATCAGGACACCGACAAACAGTGTAAACTTACCTCTCCATTAATCTCCCGTCGTCCGTGGAGGGACCCAGGTGTTCCACGCGCTCGCTTTGGTCGATTAAAGTGCCTTCAGTAAACCTGAAATACAACGAAGAACTAAAGCTAGCTTTGTAGGACTGCGCAGGGTTTGTTTTTTCCTGCTGCTGCTCGGTGCAGGGAGATCGGTGAGGAAAGGAAATGACC